TAGGAACTCTAGATGCGCTTTCGTGGGTGCTTCAATGTGAAGGTGGCCTGCATCCGTCGCTGCCCCCAGAACTGGGACGTAGATGGACGCACACGGACCGACCAAAAGTTAGGCGTGGCTTCTGGTTGATTAGTCATGTGATTAGTGATTAGTGTGATTAGTCACTGTGTTGAATGGCACTTTTGTGCTGATACCTGACTCTGTTAATCCCAATGAATAAAGTATACCAGGAAGGAGCATTACTCAGGTTAAATACAAGAGAGAGTGCGACGGAAGTCGGCCATTTGCAAAAGCCACTTATGATTCATTTTTGTTGTGGTTTTTGCAGTGACATAAAATAATGGTTAGTTGTTCGTATTTTGTTCTTATCACAAGACTCTGTAACGCATGTTACAAAATTACCTTTTCTCCTACTTCTTCTGGTTCTGGTTGCTCCAAAACGGAAAAAAAAGTTTGGGAATTACATTTCATGTGTAAGTATTGATACCAATATTATTTTTATATAGTACATGTAAATTTACAAATTTTTTATCGGAATGCAGTTTGAGGTTAGAAAAGTCATAGGCGGAGTAGACACATGGGAGGTTTAGATTGTTTTCGTGTAAAATTCTTTATAATTGTATCCTTCTACAACTGTAAGGTAGGTACGCCACTGGAAAAGGAAACAACTGTCCGCCATTTGCAAAAGCCATCGCGGTCGCACGTATATTGTTGATATTCTCCTTCCTGGTATTCTTTATTCATTGGTTAATCCATTGCCTGACTAGGAGACCCTGTATGCAATGTGGTGTAGAGAGCATCACCCATTTTTTTTTCTTTGAGAGGACTATTAGCGACTTGGGTGGCAGTTCCAACCTTTGGTAGGTTTTGAGTTATGACGTCATATGCATTAAATTCGCGTATTCATTTAAACCATTCCACTAATCCACAAATGTGGCTGTAGACCCAGGCAGATGAATATCAAATCAAAGGTGTTTATTAGAACTAGTCAAATATAATCGAATATTATTTAGTTGTTGTCACTGGTTGGAGATATGACGTCATAATGACCATTTCACCACTTTTATATGGTTGGCTCCCAAACGAAACACGTTGGACCCTCAATTTATATGAAAAAAGTGCTTATTTTGATCCCCTCTAGCACTCAATTTTTTTATATACATATACATATGTAACACCCCGTATATGCAATGAGTAAATTTTATAACGTTTGTATACGACGACGCTGTTTAAATTGTTGGAAAACTCAATATTTAAAAATTTTAAATGTTGATGTGGAGCTACAAGCGAATAACGTTAACGAATTTTTTTTTACCATCTAGTTTTTTTGCCAACGAAATCCATGCGGTTACTTTTATTTGGAACACCCCGTATACGGATAGAAAGTTGAATTTTTTTTCATAATTTGGGTGGTACGGATAAAAATTCGAAAATTTTTCTTGGGAGGGTTCAACTCTATTAGTACTCAACAACTTCTGATAAAAATAACTAATAACGGGTCTTTTTTAAAATTCGACGTCGAAGTTGACTTTGCAACATTGAATTATTGTGTTGTGAACCCACCAAGCTTAACCGAACTGACTGAGCTACTACACTTCCAACAAGATATACTTCCAATTTATTGTAAGGTAACGTCTGTGTGTTCACAATGAGTTTGTCATGGCAACTTCGACGTCGAATTTGATAAAATTATCAAAGTTCTCCTGTGAGATCGAAGGTACTTCAGCGCAATTTTTGTGTGGCAGATCAGTACTCTATTAGCCAGTTTCTATTCCACCAGCAATAAGATCTTTTCGTACCCACTTCCGACGTCTCGTTTTTTTGAGGCACCTCTCATAGCTAAAGCTTCTACTGGCCAGATTTTAAGAAGCTGAGGTTGAACTTAATTCATTCGATACTCATTTCTCGAGCGTTTTAACGTTTCCAATCTGTTGCAAGTGAATTAAAATTGTTTCATCACCCACTTTTAACTTTTAAAACTTGTCACGTGTGTTTACGAATTCAGTAAATTTGGAGTCTTGTGAAGTTTTAGCAATCCGAGTTTATATGTATAGAATATGTACTGAACCATATGTATAAAACGAGAAAAAACTGAACTCTACTCAGTTTCACGCATTGCCAGAAAGCAAAGTGCTGAATGATATACATACTTGTATATAACTGCATCTTGTACTTAGCAGTCGATAACGATTAGAGATGATTCTTTCCTATTTACAAAAAACAAAAGCGTGAAGGACTAAAGAAATTAATCTAAACATAGGTAATAATAGAATTGGCAGCGTTTATTGGCATGTTAAATGGCTAACGTCTTGTACGAAGGTATACTTTCCTATTATAAATAGCTTTGTCTCCTTATTCTAATTGATTAATGCAGTTCGGTTGGCCAACTATGTCCGTAACACCTGGACTGCACAGCCAGCACAGGTGCAATTTAATTTTACTTTCATAGAGTTTAATTTGCACTATTCTTAGACGTCATTCATGAGTGTCCATGAAATGGATGCCACATTTGCATATTATAAATATTAGATGTGCATCATTAGCACAAGATTGTAGGCCCATTCGTTCTAGTTACACCGGTATATTCATATCAACGCGCTAACGATCAACGAGGGTTTAAAAATACACTCCAAAATTTCACGACAACCTTTTTATCTTCGGGTTGATATTAAAACAAGTTAAAAAAGTAATGGAAAACGATTTACAAAAAGCGCATTTCCACTTGCATTCATTTCCCATTTGTAAGGTGCAACTTCTATTAAAATTTCGTAAAAATCATACCTATTGCATATGTGAAATCCATTTTTGACCTGATACTTCAATGTCAGTTTATAACCCGAATCCTACTCTAAAATTTTAGAATTGGTTCACAAATAACGACTGTGGGTCTGGGCATGCGCAACAATTGTTTAGCGTGTTTTTAGTCGGATCGAATTGTGCATGAGCAAAACAAATTTATTTGATTCTGCATTAGTTTTATCTTTATTCGAGCTGCCTCCATACATTCATTTAAATATCTTACCACAGGAAAACTGGATTGCGCAAATACAAAAGTTATCGTGCACAACGCACAACTGCACACGGACAGACAGGCGGACGGAGAGACAGACAGCACTACAACATGATCTCGAGGATCGTTAATATACGGCAAAAGTGTAAAATTATGGTACTACATGAAAAACATAGATTTTACCATAACTTTTTTCTTAAGAGGCACATAAAAAATTCCTTCCTTGGTGCAGGGATCGACACCATCACGAACCAAATAGCCAAAAAGTAGAACAATAGCTCTAAAGATAAAGAACTAGTAGCGACCGGACGGACGGACAAAGTGACCACAATAGCGCATTTTTTTTAAATTTTTGTGGAGATAAAATAATGCAATTGAATTATTCGTACCTACTCACTACATACTAGACACGCCCTACGAAAATTCTTGTATGGAAATCTAAAAAAAGCAATCTTAATATTATCTAAAATCACGTGCTTTGTGTGGAAAACCAATGTCCGTGATTTCAAATTTCAGGATTCCTGTAATGTGCAATACATTTCTGATGCTTAGGAGCTATTTGACACAGCTCATGCTCCAGAAGCCACAATCTTCATGGAAGGAACTGCCGCCAACTGCGATGTAAATATTTAATCAGTTGACACTGATATACCCCCACCACAGAAATGGGGTATAAAAGAGTGTGCACCGGCATAAAAATGCAGTCGACTTCTGTTCACCCCTAGCGAAGAAGCATATCCCTGGTCCCACTGTTCAAGGATAGTCCTGTCCTGTCAATAAAAATCACCTACACGAATCTTCATGTCTCCTTCCCTGGAAGCAGCGCAGAAACAAGATCGGCTCAATTTTCACCACCTCCCGGAACACTTCCGTCGTCACCAAACGGAAAGTATCTCCAAACCGCCAAAGTGGTGACAGTTACGTTAGAGCCCCGACCGCTTATATAGAGTGGCTCTACCGCGGGCTGTACAGAAGCCTACTTTGAAGCTCTGATAACCCCGGCTCTTAACGGCGGAAACTCACCACACGCCTGCCGCCAAAGACCCTTAGTTACCTACTTGAAATTCGTAACAAGTTGCAGATACAGTTAAGATATCAATATGCATGGAATAATAGCTTTGATGATTATTTGAAGACAAAATGCAATAAAGAGACATCTAGGCTGACATAGGAGACTTTTACTGATCCAGGTTGTGTATTGTGTAACATACCCCTACGGTTGGGAAACACCTCTCACAACCGAAAAAAATCAAATTAGCGAGATATGCATACAACAATCTTCATGAAGTCTTCAACCTTGACCGTTCTGCGCAGATTGGGGGTAACAGGGATTATGCCTTTATAGGTACATTGTTTATTGAGTATTTAGTTATGTATTCACGCGACCTTACGTCGGCGCGGTAAATCGAACACACGATCCCGTCACGGAGTGAAAATAAATTGTGAATTACCAGTGATTTAGTAGTAGAAAATAGTGCGAAATAGGATTAAAGGTTAAATAGTGGGTGCAGTTATGTGAATAGACACAAATACGGACAAACTCAATAGACTAAAGATAAGAGCGCGCGTACATAGACACGTAAGTGACGTAGTTAATCACAAACGGTGACGATAACGGACAATCGATTACACTTTGTTTACAAATACCGCATTTATCACATACATATACAAACAATTTTACTAACAAAATGGAAGGTATATTGGAGAAAATCAGTACCCAATTAGATGAGTTAAATAAAAGAACGGGGCGCATCGAGGGTAAGATGGATGAGTGTCAACGCCAGCTTGTAGAAATAAAAAAGGAAAACGCGAATCTCAAACAAGAAAATGAGCAGCTCAAACGAATCCTAAAGCAGCAAAGTTCAAGAATGGACTACCTTGAGAAAGAAAGTAAAAGAAATAATTTGGTGGTGTATGGAATATCCGAAAAGGAAAATGAGACCGTTTGCAACTAAAAGAAACAACGCAGAAAATTTTAAGAGACATCGATATGAATACTACGACGGGAGAGACAGAAATACAACAAGTCTATAGAATAGGGGCAAAACAACTGAATAAAGTTAGGCCAGTATTCATCAAACTGGCCCAGTACGAAACCAAAATAGAAGTACTGAAAAAGGCGAAAAACCTAAAAGGTACAAACATATACATACACGAAGATTTTCCAAAACACGTATTAGAGGAGAGGAAAGTATTAGCAACCCATTTAAGAACAGCAAGAGAGTCCGGTCATCGCGCATACCTGAAATACAACAAACTCATTGTCAACGGAGAGGAGTATGGCGTAGAAGACATCACAAGCGCAGATGAGCAAGACGACGAAGTTAACGAAGTACGGAAAAAACCAAGAACGAGAACCATTAGTCAAAGGTCACCCCAACCCACGTATTCCAAGAAGGCGTCTAGTATGGATTGCTTACCAAAAAACTAACAGGCATACAACAGATCAGAACAAAGACGACGACAAATGCGTGGAAAAGGACAGCAAAAGAAACAACACAGAACCATGCAAAATCGGAAATATGGAAACTTGGTAAGTACTTGGAACATACGAGCAATTAATGGAAAAGAGCACGAGCTAATTGAAGAATTTGAGAAGGCGGAGCTAGATGTACTGACAGTGTCCGAAACAAAAAAGAAGGGACAAGGAGTCGTAGAAATGGAAAATGGGCACATGCTAATCTATAGCGGAGGGGAAGAAAGTACGCGAGCCAAGGGAGGAGTGGGATGCATATTACACAGAAATTTGACGAAATTAGTACACAGATGGGAAGGGTGGTCTGAAAGAATATTGGAAATCGAGCTGAAAGACCAGAAAGGGCCAATAACCACAATCATCAGTGTATATGGTCCGAATGAAGACGAGAAAGCTGAAAAGAAAGATGAGTTCTGGGAAGAATTAAACAAAGTAACGGAAAATGCTAGAGGGAAGCTGTATATAGCTGGCGACTTCAACAGTAGGGTAGGCAAGAAAGACAGCAAATACAAAACGGTACTAGGGGAACATGGAGAAGAAATACGAAACAATAAAGGCAATAGACTATTATGCTTTTGCACAATGGGTTAATTATTACAAACTCGTTTTTCAAACATCGCGACATTCACAAATTCACTAGAGTGCAGAGAACAAGGCAAGAAGAGTCCATTATTGATTACATACTAGCAGAAATAGACAACAGAAGAAACATAAACGACACAAGAGTTTCGAGAAGAGCAGAAATAAATAGTGACCACTATTTGGTAGTATCAAAGATAAAAGGAAAGATCGGAGCAAGACAGGGAGAAGGAGGGCGGAAACAAGAAATACCAGTAGCAGAAACAATTAAATCGTACAAACTAAAAGAACAAAGGTTTGCAGAAGAATTCACTAGGCTACTAGAAGCTGAAATAGAAAGACAAAGTTGCGGGTCTGTGGATAGCAGGGTTGAAGGGATGTGGACAACCTTCAAATGCTTGGTGCTAAGGATAGCAAAGCAGGTATGCGGAACTTGTAGAACAGTTAAGAACAAGAAACAGACAGCTTGGTGGAATGAAGAAAGAAAGGAACAAGTAAGAAACAAGAAAAGAAAATGGAAAAAATATTTGAGTACCAGAACTATCGCGGATTACATGGAATATAAACAACAACGTGAAAGAGTCAAAAGATTAGTCATAGATGCGAAACAGAGAGCTTGGACGGATTTTGGTGAGAAAATAGAGGAAGAAAGTAAAGGCAATCAGAAACTCTTTTTTAAGATGATCAAAACGTTAAGAAAAGGAAAAACCAGAAATACAGTATCAATTAGAAGCAGAGAAGGAGAGATATTAACAACAGACGAAAACATAATGAACAGATGGAAAGAATATTTTCAAGAATTGTTAGAAGAGGCACAAGAAGACTCCGAAGAATTTCCAAGGGCAGTAGGAGAACAGGATGAAGAGGAAAATCTTATCACACTAAACGAAATGATGGAGGCGATACGCAAAATAAAACTAGGAAAGGCACCTGGACATGACAAGATAACGGGAGATATGTTAAAAAACTTAGGAGTGAAAGGCAGACAAATGCTGTTGGACATATTTAATAAAGCGTTCAACGAAGAAACGGTATCAACAGATTGGGACGAGGGATTAGTAGTACCAATATTTAAGAAAGGAGACCCACACGACTGCGGCAATTACCGGGGTATAACACTTCTAAGTAGGTACGACTCTAAAATTATACGAGCGTATTTTAGAGAGAAGGTTAAGAACGATAATCGAAACAACTCTAAGCGAGCCACAAAGCGGATTCAGACCAGGCCGAAGTGCCCAAGACCACATATTCACCATAAAGCAAATTATTCAAAAGACGGCACAAAAGAAAAGTAATGCATGTTTCGCCTTTATAGACTTAGAAAAAGCGTTTGATAAGGTGCCTCGCAAGAAAGTTTGGAAAATTTTGTATGAGAAAATGGAAAATTAATAAGAGTAGTACAAAGTTTATATCAGAATAGTAAGAATCGTGTCATAAAAGGAAATCTAAAATCAGAAAGCTTTACGACCAAAGCAGGATTGCGGCAGGGAGGAGTCATGAGTCCCCTATTATTCACCATATTTATGGACAACATTATCAAACGGTGTCAAAAAAAGATAAATAAAAAACTACACGTCGGATACAAAAGCATGACAAGAATAGAGATTGCAGCATGTGCATTCGCAGACGATATTGTAATTACTGCCAAAAACCAAAAGGACCTTCAAGACAACTTGGACGTTTGGAATAAAATTCTAGCAGAAAATGGAATGAAAATTAATAAAAACAAGACAAAAGTAATGTCAATAGCACAAGAACCACACGAGTTACATATTTACATTGAAGAAGAAAAACTTGAACAGGTGACACACTATACCTACCTTGGCGTACAAATCGACGACAGAGGAAACGAAGAAGGAGAAATTAATGAAAGAATTCAAAAAGCGGCAAGAATGTATTATGCACTAAATAAGAATTTTATTAGCAAGAAAGAAGTATCCAGGAAAACAAAGATGATGGTGTACAAGGTAATATTAGACCAATTCTGACGTATGGCAGCGAATCATGGACGTTAGGGAGAAAAGAACTAGGTAAAATACAGACAATCGACATGAAATATCTGCGAAGAGTGAAGGGAATCACAAGAAGAGACCACATACGGAATGAAGACGTAAGAAAAGAGTACAGCCGATAACAGAATTCATAGAGAGCAAACAGTTGAGTTGGTGGGGCCACCTGCAGAGAATGAGCGATGGGAGACAAGTTAAGCAAATATGGGAAGCGAAAATCCAACACAAGAGAGGAAGAGGTCGACCAAGGCAGACGTGGGAAGATACGGTTGGAAAGACATTAAAGAAAAGAGGAAAATCCTGGACTGAAGCGAGAAACCTGGCAAGAGACAGAAAGGAGTGGACAAGATTCGTACATGACAGTGTATAAAATGTATTGTATAGTAATGTATTTCACCGTACACCTAACGGTAGAACGGTGTCCCGATTATATATATATATATATATATACGCGAAAGTCAATGTGATGTTGCTCTGCTTGCTTCGGTTTAACTATTCTGGGGAGGAAGTATCCCAGTTTGCATGCACGTCGCCCGTGAACTGCAGCTCTTGTGTCTTAGCATATACGAGAAAGTGGGGTCCTCTAAACCGATGTCTCTCTCTATATGGGTGGTTTAAAGCTATTTCCGCGAAGGAAGTACCTAATACATGTCGCCGTATCTACTGCTTTCTTTCTTGTGCGGACCGAAACTCTTTGTGTCTTTCCATAAAACGCCCGCTAAATAGGGCTTTGCTTTTGACATGATCCTTTTTACACGCAATTTCCAATTTTACAAGTTTACTTCATCTGATTTATGGTGGTCCACTTGTGTTTCATTCTTGTTCTTTTAACGGCATTCATCTTTATTAACCTGATTTGATTTATCGTGCCTTCTACTTGCATTTGATGTTTCTTGTGTTTATTTTTATGAACTTGTTTTTTTTTCATTCGATTACTTGATTTTTATTGTACAATTTGTTACCGTAGTCGATTTATTTCATGTACTCGTACTTGTGCTATGTCGGGGTTTTTGTCCCAAACAAGGTTTCGCTGGTATCACCCTGTTGTCTGCGTAATATATTTTACTTGTTCTTGTCTTTTGTTAGCTACAAAATACTGCATTTTATTCAATTCCCTTCCTGATTGTCTCACATCTGAATACATGACAGAACCGACCTAGTACTAGGTATTATCCAAGGTAAAAATTCATTCGTGCCAACCAATCAGAACAGACGGCTACAGAGATTCATTCACTATACATTTACCTATACAACATGAAAACTGTTCCAACTTGTCAGACTCTACGGTTGGTACTAATCTGGTTGTTGGCTGCGTTACATATGTTCCTGATGGTCATTTAAACTCTTCAACATCGTGCTGGAAATTAGAGAAAGGAAGGGATCAGATTGCCAAGGACGAGGAGAAGCTGAGGATAGGTAGGTACATTTAATAGTTTTATATTGTTATTTTGTGACATGTTTTATTATATTAGTCAGATTTCATCATGATGTCACACGCCATTTATGTGAACTGCTTTTGGTAGGTATTTCATCTTTACAGTACAAACTTTCGAGATAACTCAATTAAATTATTATACAAAAACAGTGTATTGGCACCTTGTGGTTTGCTAAATCGCTAAATCTTTGATACAAATTTAATAATGCTATTACATAATACATACGTGGGTAGGTACTTGCTACATAATAATTTACCTTACGAAATACAAAAATTTTACTCTGTGCTCCTATACAATTTAAATAATACATCCTATGGGGTGTACTTTACAAAACAATTTTTCTTTACATATTAACAAATTTCAACTAAAATTTATACAACCTAATCAAACTTCTCTCTCAATTTATTCTTTAAAAATATAGGAACCAACGAGATTACCGCGAATACTGCTAGTAGCACGACCGAATTCCAGGAAAACGTCGAATCTGAATTGGACATGGTGTGCAACGTTTGGCCAGCCTGAATTGCAACGAAAGACGGCGGCGCGACGCCAAAGAATGTGCCAATTGCGAATGGCTTTAGGGGTACACCGATTACGGGTGCGGTCAAATTTATAAACCAATTCGGTAAGAACGGTGTAACGCGTAGGAACACCATGTAATTAAATAAATTATCACGTTGCTTATTAACTATCACAGACCATTTACTTGCCCGCTCCGGGAAATACTTTAGCACTAATTTTCTTCCTAATATTTGCGAAAGTAGGAAGCATAGGGATGCTCCCAGTGCCGAACAAGTGCACACTAATACTAGCGCGACCGTAAACGGAAATAGAAATCCAGAGAGGATCGAGAGAAACAGCGATCCAGGAATGGCGAACGTTTGCAAGCTAAATAAATGTTAAGGAATACAACGCTTAGGGTTGAGATGATTTAAATCAACAAATTTAATATTCCTTACAAGCATAGTAAAAACACCCTCTCATAAGTCAATTTCCCAAAAATTCTTCATTCATACCGCTATTGACGCCACAGATGTAAATATACTACAGATAACTTATCTCATGATATAAATTGAGTAGGGTCAATTTACAGTGACTCTATGGAGACAGTGTAGCCATGCAGCCATGTTTCAACCTTCTAGACCGGATTGGTAGAAATTGGAAATCAAAGTGCCGAAGTCATAGCACAGGAAACAAATGTGGCATCTTCTTGCAACCATAGCTAAATCTACCAATTAACACAATCAGTTCAATGATAAATTTGGGTTAAAAAACATGGCGGACATGGACAGTCACTGCAGGGGAATTTGGATTTCAGTCGCCTGGTGCATTAAATCTAAACTAAAATCCAGGTTGAATGCAGTCGAGATAAATAAAAAAGTTCATTGCTCAATTATTTCTATAAAAACAACACGGAATCGTACGAGCAAGATTCAAGAAAGGTCAACTGTATTTCCCCAACAGACTCAATTTTATCATTTATATATTGTCCAGCCATAAGGCATTATCTTATCAGAGAAGGGCCGTACAGTTTGCATCCTGATTTTAGAAAACACCACAATTAAGTTAACTATAGTAGTTTTTCCGACTGTTTTTAGTTTTATACTCGGTTTTATATATCATATTTTTTTGGTTGGTATACAAAAAAATTGAAAAATTCGTGATTCAATACTTACGAAATGTAACATGCTGTGTGGTGTCAGGATGCGCGGTGTCGGGTATGTTACACAGGGGGTTGTATCGCGTGAAAGGTAATCTTCAAAACGAAGCATTGAACGAGTTGATATAGGCCTTTTCTGTGTACCACAACAGACACCGCGCATCATGACAGCACACGGCATGCTAGATTTGTCTAAATATTGACATAAATAAGACTAAAAAAACATAGGCATTGCATAGTTTTAATATGCGGTCGGATATTTGGGGAAATATTGCAAAATTGGTTTGGAAATATTCGCGACTCAAAACAGTCCCACGACTCAAAAATTAGAGCTTAAATAAATAAATTTGAATATAGTGTATTATTGAGCTCATCTACAACTTTTTCCTTTACACTTTCTTTTCTAGTTAATAATTATAGGCACTAAAAACGAGAGATAGCTAGTTAGCCATGAGTTTTTATCAAAAAAACGCCCCAATTTAATTGTCTCTCTATCTCTGCTAGCTTCCAAAATAAACATTGGAAAAAACTCGCCTTGTATAAGACAGTATAACGAATCGATGTATAATAAAATTCTGCATACGATCATCAAATAATATACAGCAGTGTTACTCAACCTGGGGGGCGCGCCCCCCTAAGGGGACACAAGGCGTTGTTAAGGGGGGCGCGAGATCTCTGATGTGTTTGAGGCAAATATTTACCTTTAAAATATTTATATTAGGGATTTTTATATACAATTGCATTTGACCAATTCTTAGGTACACCGCGACTCGTTGCGCGTTCTTTAAAGACTTGATTATACACTTGTATCTTAATATACTATTTTAGCACCGTCAGAAAGTTGAGAAAAATTTACCAAACTTTTGTTAAAATTATTTTTTGATATCTTTGAAAATAAATGGACGCCAATGTATTCTCGAAAATGACATTTTTGGTTTTTTACGCATAATTCGCTATTTGTAGACCTACAACACTTTTTGGAAGGGATAATTAATCACCATACAATTTTGCATAAATGCAAATTTTTTTTATAAATACGTTTGTAGTAACAGCACTTTTTATTTTTTAATCGGGATGGGGGGGGGGGCGTGAGTAATTTTCGAACCTGGGTTGAGGTGAATTTTTCATCTGTGGCAGAGATGGGAAGTGCCTTAGGCCAGTTTCGAGCATTCTGCCGGCTACTCCGAATTAGGTTTTCCTACTTCGTAAGGTAAATACCGGAGTAGTATAGAACAACTTAAGATCCTCTGGAGAGGCACCTCTAAAAAGCATCATGCGGGTCACTCTGTAATTGGGCGCAAGCCTGTTGAGGACCCAGAACAAGAGAGGGATAATAATTAATTAAAATACTGTTGACAATACGTGTAGGAAAAAACCCATCATATTATTGCAGAAATTCAAAATTGAAATAATATATAGGGTGTTCCACTTAAAATAATATAACCGGAAGTGACACATGTGACATGTTTTTGATGAATTCCTCTTATTGACATTAGTATACTGTCAAATTTTCAAAATATTCTCCTTTTTGAGATATAGGTAGAAGGCGTTTGTTGTGGGTCACCCTATTTAGAACCTCGATTAGAACGCAATCACATGTGTATTGGGGAATATTTGAACGCTTTATACACAGCAAGGCAGTGCAACAGGTTGAAAAATACAGTCGCAATAAATAGCTCAAACTGTGATTAGATAAATACTTCTTTTACTTACCATCATGATATGAATTGTGTGTCTTGAATATAGTCACAAACCTAAACTACATAATCAATATAATTCTAAATTTCAATGTAAACTGCACAAGTTACAATGACAATCCATTATTTGATTTCCTGATGAGTTCCTTATGTATGAATTATCTGTAGTATATTCACACTAACCTGTTCAGTTTTTTTTTTTATTGAAATCTGGTCAAAATTTCAAAATATGCATTTAAATGAATCTTTAATTATGATCATTAGGAAAAAATTTTACGGCGCATTCATTTTCAAAAGCTAACATAATGCAATAATTGCACCTGCCAATTCTATCCCTAGTTATTACCTTCATTACCTTTATTTGGATTATATGTAATTGTTTTTATGCAATTCTGCAAAAACAAATGTTAGGTAACTATTTACATAGTTATACTCGACTACGCTTATTGTTCAAAAGATTCAGGAAAGGATACAATATGTATGTAAGAAACACTGCTCCCATCACCTGGAGAAAGTTGTCATCTTTGTAACGATTTAAAACTATACCAAGCTGCTTTGCGTCCTCTATGTTCCATGGAAGTCGTATGTGTAGTCGTTCATCACTTAAAAAGAAAGGATTAGCATATACAGAAAGTTTGGCTCTTAAACATACTCGGACAGTTGTGGAAAATTGGCATAGACGAGAAATAAGGCAAACGATGAACATAGAAATATTAGTCCGACACGACCTAAGGCTGCTCGTGTAGAAAAGTGTTCCCGTTTTGTTTCACTTGTGGTCGTACCTAAAACACAGAAGATAATAGCAAGTCCAGACTATTAAGTGAACATACGATCGGAAGGGTTTCGTGGATTCATAGAAACAGAGGTGTAGGAATAAGGTCGCAGTACGAAATTTGTATTAATTCGATAGGTTCGCCTGCCAGTTGGATTTGTGAAATTGCGAGGAGGTGCGTAGAACACGTCAGAGGATGAGGATATTTCAGAATATTGAATTAAATTATAACCTTCATTTTCGATTCGCACTGACATTCTGGTTGGTACGTTAGGAGGACGTGTAGGTGAATCTATTCCGACTTTCTTCCTTCGCAATCCACATTTAATTTTTTCGTCGGAAGGAATGCAGCACAATTTAAAAATCAGTCATTAAAATTCTGTTCGTATTTGACTTTTGAAAAGAAAGTGCGCAGGCTCACAGCACATCACGCGACTGCAGGTCCACGAGTTATGAAGTCCGGGAGAGAAGTAGTAACTCAAGGCGTTTAAACTTCGCCCCACCAATTTCCCTATTTCCAATAAATCGTATATTTTCTATTTCGTTATTGGTATTTTAACTACGGGATATAAAAGTATTTTTTAATTTTAAATAGACTACGGCCATTTGCATTTGCTGTATTTGATCTGAAAGTGTTCGTGAAAGTACGCTAATTAGTTAACTAATGATATGTTTATAGTTTTGCCACTTTAATGTCTCCTTGAATAAGTAATGAAAATGTTCTCTAGTCTGCTTTTACTCCTCTACGGTGATCCAATTCTTCATATAGTTTCAACGTTTTCAAAAAATTCTGAAGTGGTTTCAGTTACGACCGCTCAAATCTCGTCATCGATTTTGAATACATGACTACATTGGAAGCGAAGTAGATCTGGTCACCACACCCCAATCGTGCATTCGGGGGTGTCTACACCCTGTACATTTAAATATCCTGTAGATAATGGAGCGGACTGTAGCCAACATTTGCCAACCTTGCCGATTCAGTAACCACTTCCTGTCTTAAACCTAACCTAATTTTTACAAGTATATAATATTTATTTATTTTTAATATGACGAACGATTCTTTATCTCAATATAAAGCGCGTGTGGCAGCTCTCAACAAACGGGCCAAAGAACTCAATTTGACTGACTTAGAAATACAAACAGTATTCGACGAGTGCTTTAACGAACTAAGCAAATCCTCGCCTACAAAATCTCGTCCCTCCTTAATAACTTTAGCAGCTAAAATTACGATCGGCTCCCTATTTATTGCCTTAGTTACTTACATACTATTAAATGTACATCAACCAACTTCAAGCATTGTACTCCGAAATGTACAAGGACTGATATATCCCGGTTTGAAGGTTGTTCGTTTTCTAGCCGTTCCGATTTTAAAAAAGTTTCCATCGCTTACCAGTGAGTTGTCCATGTTACTGTTATGGTCTTACATCATTTCTTTCTTCAGATTTGTATGATGAGAGCTGTCTGGTCGAAAATCCGTACTTTTACGTATCAGATATGGAATGTTGGCCTTGCGAAGATGTGCATTCTGTAATTGACCTAACTGGTTTTAGCAATTATAGTTTGTATCAATCTGGAATACCGTATATTGTGCAAGTAAAAGACACTGTTTAAGTGAGGCTCTCAATGAATTTGTCGTAGACGAACCAGCCGTATGTGAACTTTAAGCAGTTGAAACACATGTATAGATTACACAAGGAAATGCTTCTAAGGGATGCTGGGATTATTAAATCAAATAATTCCACTGTACAATCCCTTGATGGTTTATTCGAGTCTGATCTGCATGAGCACAGTATCACTCATGTCTCTTGGCGTATTAATAGAATGTCACCATCTCAGATTATACGTAAATTATTTCCAAGACCGTACATTGTGTCTGATAGATTCGGGCAAAGTGTAGAAAGATTTATTATGATTGATGCGCCGGCAGCTGAAGGTTACAGTTTTCCTAATACGGAATGTAGTTATGTGTTTGTTATACAAGGATCTGGCGAACGCACAATTATACTTAAACCATCCAAAGAATGTGGAAGTGTTTGTAGAACCGTTTCGGTTGTATTAAGACCATCATTTGTGTGTAAGTTTATTTAACATACAAATTCTGTTTACTAGAGTTTGTTTTTAGTGTGGTATAATTGGTGGTACTGGAGGCCAATCAGCCTCCCTAAAGAGAATGTTACTGAAACTTCAATTTCCTATATTAGCAGCTATTGTTAATTATATAATTGTGGTTGTTGATAATCGTAATAAAGTATTTTGTTTATTACCAATGTTTTAATTTACATAGTACAGTCCTCACACTTATTAACATTTCAAAATTAAAGTTTCCCGGTCAAGCTAGCCATTTCCATTGTTGCTACAAGAAAATTATATTCATTATTAAAATAGGTATAGGCAACCAACATTACACGCAACAAACGGGAATTGTTTTCTTTCTCTCTTCAAACATTTAATCATGAAAAATTAAATCCCTAACGTTCCCGAAACCGGTTTTAGAACACTTCTCCATTCGAGAGGTTCAAATTCCGTCGACTACCTCTGCTCCAGAGGTTTTTCAGAAAAGGATAAGTCAGGTATTGGAAGGTGTCACTTCAACGACTTCGTTATTTTTGGGAAAAACACTGAGGAACATGACTCTCGCTTGGTTGTTGTGTTAAAAAGGCTCAGGAAAACTGGGGGGATTTTAAATAAAAGCAAGTTTGAGTTTCGGAAGAACGCCATTACAATGCTTGGACATATTATCTCCCAAGAGGAGGTAGTCCCAGATCCCTCGAAAGCTAAGGCAATTCTTAAGATGCCTGTACCTACAAATATCATCGAACTGAAAAGCTTAATTTCTTAGGAAAGTTTGTGCCTAACTTGTCATCAGTCGCACAACACAAATTATTACAAGACAAAGGAATGGTATTGGGGCGAGGAGTAAGCGATAGCACTGAAATCTGTTACGCACACTATTAAGTTCTTGCTCTCTATGATAGCAACAAGGAGACCTTACTCTGTCAGTTCACTCATCATCACATGGACTTCAAACCAGTAGTGTTAATTCACATCCCGTACGCTGAGTCAGAGTGAGAAACGTTATATGCCCAGAGCGAAAAGGAGGCAGGCCATTGCAATTGCATGGGGGGCTGCGAACATTTTTCTGGTTACATAACCGGCAAGTTTATACCACTGTAGAGGCTGATCATAAACCGTTAGTAGCGATTGTAGGTGAAAAAGATTTGGAGAGTCTAAAACCGCGCATAAAAATGCGGTTGATGAGGTATGCTTGTGGTCAAGTATACTCCTGGGATAAAGATTTGATAATCGCAGGTACATTTGTAACGTATAAGTTAAGGTAATCACAATTCACACTGCATATATTGCAACCTAATTTAAGTAATATTAAGTAGGTAGGTACTATTAAATTGGGTAAGAATGCTGACAGAATGATTGCGTCCTAGGAAAGGGTGTGTGTAAAGTAGGTTAGAAAATGTAGAATTAAGTTAGACGCAAGAAGAAAATGTTCAACCTGCGACGAGACAACATGTAACAATACTGTTTTGAATAAGTATATAGGCATGGAAAGTCGAGGTACGAACATTACATGGCGATCCTGCCAGTCCTGGCATAGCAACATTACATAGCGACAAGGTATGGATATAAGAAAAACTCCAGGAAAAACTACCTACAACCTGCCCAACCCAAATTTGGTAACGAGGAGTTTGCCACGCCGACGTGGGATACTATAATGGGAAGAAATTAAACTACTGCAACGACGCGAAGATTCACTACAACCGGAATGCAAGGTATAACGCATTTTTTATTGCAATTTTAATATTTGTAGTAAGCTATTGGAATAATAGTGCGTCGGGTACATGGCTAGAATGGGGAAAATACTGCACTTTTTGATTGGAATATGCCACTTTCTGTGGTAATAGTTAATACCAAAAGGCAATTTTTGAGATAGGGAGCCACTCGAAAATCCGTGCAGCAAATCAAAATGTTGGCCGTCAAAATGGCGCCATTAGCCGCAATATATTTTTTTGTATCTCTGCTCCTAATAGTCCGATTTTAATTTTCTTTTTTTTTTATTGAAAGCTCTTGTGACGAGGAAACTTTTTTGCTATAACCTATAACATGTCACTAAAACTTAAGGAATTAGCACAATTTTAAAATAGTGTTTTTTTACGAATTTGAATCACAATTAGTAAGCTCTTAATTGTGCAATATCCCGGTCCTTTCGACAAAAAAGGCCATATCGTTTAGAAATTCAATCGATACAACCCCAAAACTCCTTGTATCTACCCTGCAAGTTCGGAAAATTTCAATCTGCCATGTTTTTTTTTTAAAAATGCGCAATATTTGTTTCATCAGGCACGAAATCAAGCATTACCTATGAAAATTTAAAGGAAAAGCCTCGTCAATTTCCAAGTTTTAGATACCTATTCATATAAGTAAGTTTTTTTTTTTTTATCTTTATTGCAAATTTACAATCTACTTCATTTAGAGTATTAAGTAAATGTGATATATGACTTTGACTTGGAAGGGGAAGTGTCCACTGACAATTCACCTTATAGTTCACTATCACTTAGTGTTAGGGGGGTAGGTCAGCAGGCCAGGTTTTGTTTAATCTTCTGATGGGTGGTCCATCCCTGTAGAGGATTTCTATGAGGACGTTTGGATTACCTGTAACTCGTTGTTGGTAAGCGGCAGAGACAGTGGTGATTACGTCCGTGACATATGGAATTTGGAGGTCTTGATGGAGTATGAAGTTGCTAACGTACCATGGAGCGTTAACGATTGCTCGGAGTGTTTTGTTTTGGATTGGTTTTAAACGAGTGGGTTTGGCACAGCCCCAAAGCTGGATACCGTAAGACCAGATGGGTTTCACCATGGTTTTGTACAGCAGGAGTTTATTTCTGAGAGAATGTTTAGATTTACGTCCCATGAGCCAGTACATTTGTTTGATTTTGTGATCCAACTGCTTCCTTTTCGTTTGGATGTGTTTCTGCCACGTCAGTCGTTGGTCTAAATGGAGTCCTAAGTATTTTACTACAGTGTTTACAGGTATGGGAGAACCGTTGATTGATACGGCCGGACAGATTTCTCTGCGTTGGGTAAAAGTGACTTGAACTGATTTGGCTTGATTAATCTTGATTCGCCATTTGGAATACCATTCACTGAGCATGTCGAGTTGGGATTGCATGTTTACGGAGGAGGTAACCGGATCGTGGTCACTGGTTAGAGGAGAGAATAGCAACGTTATCCGCAAATGCCGCAACGGTTACGTTATGCAAGACGGGTAAGTCGGCAGTATATAATAGGTAAAGGAGCGGGCCGAGCACACTTCCCTGAGGGACCCCAGAATGTATAGGATAGTGGGGAGAGACAGAGCCATTGAGTTTAACAGAGAAGTTCCTATATCAGTGAGGTAAGATTTCAGGAGAAGGTAATAGTTGCTACTAACCACATTTTTGAGCTTGTGCTATGTGCCAAACTTTATCAAATGCTTGAGAGACATCCAAAAAGACCCCATTGCAGTATAGTTTTTCTTCTAAACTCTTGGAGATCTGATTCACTATGCGGTGGACTTTTTGGAGTGTTGACATACTTTCTCGAAAACCAAACTGATAATCAGGCAGTAAGGTTGTTAGGTCTTGGTCTGATTGAATTCGTTTAAGTATTAGTTTCTCAATTAGCTTAGACGGGATAGGCAGCAGGCTAATAGGTCTGAATGAAGATGTTTCATGTGGAGGTTTACCGGGTTTGTGCACCATGATGATTTCAGCGTATTTCCATGCAGTAGGAAAGTAGCAGAGGCTTAGTATTCGATTGAAGATAGTCGTTAGGAGGACAAGAGCTTTGTGTGGTAGCTTTTTTAAGATTTGGCTGGTGATTAGATCGTATCCCGGGGCTTTATGATGTTTTAGTTTCGATATTTCTGTTTTAACTTCAGAAAGGTTGATTGGTTTTATTGGCAGCGACAACTGGCATGGGATGTCAATGAATGCTTCAATATCGTCATTTACGGCACCGGGAGGTGGTTCTGGTTCTTGAAATACGTGGGATAGATGGATTGCAAAAGCGTCCACCTTTTCTTGGTCAGAGCGGGCCCATTCATCGGCGCGAATTCTTATCGGGGACTTAGGTGGAGTGGGCCTTTTAAATTTTTTAGTGGCTTTCCATAAGCTATGTTCATCAGAGGATAGTTTTTGAATGTATGCCTCAAAGGTGGAGTTTTGAGTTTCTTTTAGTGCTGCAGTAAGTTGTCTAGATAACCTCCTGTAATAGTGCAAGTCTTCCAAGTGGCGTGATCTCTGCTATAGTCGTCTGGCTCTTCTTTTTTCGCTAATTAGTTGTCGGATGTGAAGCGGGATGTCTTTGGAACTGGCCTCTAGGGGTTCGACACGGGGAGTCGATTGCCACGCAGCTTTTTGCAGCAGAGTCGTGAAGTCGTACAGCTTCGTCTAGATCTACTGAGTCTTTGATTCTTATGTTAAGATTAATGTGTTGAGTAATGTATTCAGCGAATTGTGCCCAATCGGTCTGTTTTGTAGTCAGCGTTGGGTGCGTAGGTTTATTTATGATGGTGGTGCATATGCTGAGGATAACAGGGGTGTGGTCGGATGACAGGTCGAAGTTCGATGTAGTTAAACAGTTTTGCGTTGGTATACCTCTGGTTATGTAGAAATCTAGGAGGTCTGGGAGTTTCCTTGTATCCGACGGCCAGTACGTGGGCTCTCCGCTGGAAAGGCGAGTATAGTTGTTAGCAGTTATGGCTCTGAGGAGGTTGCGACCCTTAGTGGTAACGATCCGGGAGCCCCAGTGGGTGTGCTTTGCGTTCCAGTCTCCTCCTGAGATAAAACGATTACCAAGAGTGTGAAAGAACGCTATATATTCGTCATATGTGATGGTGTGGCGTGGTGGACAGTAGACAGCGGCTACATTCAAATTCCACTTTTCAGCCTTAACCTGGACGTTGGTAGCTTGAATCTCATGAATTTGGTAGTTAACTAGTTCGTGATGAGGTACAGTATTTTTTATTAGGATTCCTGAACCGCCATGAGCCGTGCCATCAGGGTGGATACAGTGATAGAATGAATATTGCGGTATATGGAAGGCTGTGCGTTCGGTAAAGTGGGTTTCAGATATTAAGAGAATGTCAATTTTGTTTATTTGTAAAAAGGCTCTTACTTCTTGTTTGTGATTGAGTTGAATCATTTTTATTATACAGGGAATCCACCTTCTGTAAGCGGACGGTAGAGCGGTAGAGCCTCAATGGTT